GCTCACACTCCATCTGTGTGCTGTGCACAGATGACCTATTCCATTTATTTCTAATTAATATAACTAGACTGTTGTATTTAAATAACTTGTACATTACAAGATTTAAGTATATACATTTAAATCTAACAATCTGCATATCATCAGATTTAATACAAAAAAAAAATCTGATTAACTCTAAAATGAGTGTTTAATCAGAAGTGCAGAATTTGATGTCTTATATAATTCAAAATACTCTTATGAGATTTTTACTTATAAATGTTTATTTTCCCATTTTATATTGGTTTTATAATTATTTTGATTCCACAAACTATGTTTTGTGAGTCAGTAAGACTACTTAAGTTCTGTATCATTATACTGGCAGTCATTGAAAAGGAGTACAGTGGTAATTTTTTCATAAGCAAATCAGTAATGCTTGTTCATTTCACTTGGAGGTGGAGATCTGTGGGAAGTTTTTTTTATGTTGTGCTGAATATGTTGTTGTCATCACAGCATGTTCTCGGTCAGCTATTTTTATTTATTTGTATTTGCTGCTCATTCCAAGCATTTTGATCCATGCATAGTTATTTAGCTGTAGCATCATCAATTCCAGAATGTTATGATTTAAGAAAGTAGTTTAAATATGACAATATATTTGAACAATATGTAATAATTACGAGACACCAAAGTAAATAATGAATATACCAGTTTGAATGTGAACGCTTTCTAAAATCATATACTTTTTTTGCTATCTTTTGTTCCATTTCTGTTCACAGTTTATTATGTTACAGGAAAGCTTTGAAAATACCGTGCTGAATAACAGTGCCAAACAAATATGTATGGGCTAAGCAGAAAGTTTATTTTTGCCAGGAACAACAACTAGTATAATAGGCAATGGGTAGAATTTTATGCAAATAAACAAAATCCAAAGCCTGAAGCAGTGGTAAAGAAAGGATCAACACTGTAGCAACAAGCTGAATTGAAACCTTCCCAAAAGCATCTTTCTGAACAAGGCGTACTGAACTAGTAGATAAGGAATTCTGTAAATAACTGTGAATGAACGTTGGCTCATGTCTTCATGTAACTAAGGAAGAAAGGGATTTAAAAGGAGTTTAAAGACATTTTATGCATATACTGCACTGTCTGTGATTCTTGATCTAATGTTATACATAGCAGGAAGAAAAGGTGTAGTCAGTATGGATGTACCAATGGCAAGTCATGCTTGACCAATCCAGTTTTCTATTATGTCAAGACTGGAGGGGAGAGCAGTGAATGTTGTCTACCTTGACTTCAGCAAGGCTTTTGACAAAGTCTTCCCTGACATCATTGTAGGTTAGTTTAGGAGGTGTGGGATGGATGAGTAGACAGAGAGATGGGTTGAGAACTGACTGACTAACAGCTCAGAGGGTTGCAGTCTGCAGCACAGAATCTAGTTAGAGGCCTATAGCTAGTGGTGATCCACAGGAATCAGTACTAGGTCTAGTCTTGTTCAACATCTTAATCAACGACCTGAATGAAGGAATAGAGTGCACCCTCAGCAAGGTTGCTGACAATGCAAAGCTGGGAGGAGTGACTGACACACCAGAAGGCTGTGCTGTCATTCAGCGAGACCTGAACAGGATGGAGAGTTGGGCACAGAAGAGTGTTATGAAGTTCAACAGGGCAAGTGCAGAGTCTTAAACTGGGGAGGAATGACTACATGCGTCATAGAGTTTAGGGGCTGACCTGCTGTAAAGGAGCTCTGCAGAGAAGGACCTGGTTGTCCTGGTGAACAATAGATTGACCATGAGCCAGCAGTGCATCCTTGTGGCTGAGAAGGCCAGTGGTATCCTGGGCTGCATGAAAAAGAGCATGGCCTGCAGATTTGAGGGAGGTGATCCTCCTCCTCTATTCTGACCTGATGAGGCCACATCTGGAGTTCTGTGTCCAGTTCTGGGCTCCTCAATTCAAGAAAGACAGAGATCTTGTAGAAAGGAGGGCCACAAAGATGATTAAAGAAGTGTCTCCCTTATGAGGAAAGTCAGGGGCTGTTCAACTTGGAGAAGACTGAGAGGATGTTATCAATGCTTATAAATATCTAATGGCAAGGTGTCAAGAAGATGGGGCCAGGCTCTTTCAGCGTGCCCAGTGGCAACAGGCACAAACTGACACACAAGAAGTTCCATATGAACGTAAGGAAGAACTTCTTTACTTTGGCAGAGCACTGGAACAGGCTGCCCAGGGAGGTTGTGAGTCTTCTTTTCTGGAGGTATTCAAAAGCCACCGACTCTAGGGAACCTGCTTTAGCAGGAGGTTGGACTCAGTGATCTCCATGGGTTCCTTCTAACCTCTATAATTCTGTCATTCTGTGTGATTTCTTAAAGAAAAAATGTATGTCACACTGTCTTTAATCTAAATCATACTTTTAAACATTGCAAACAATGAAGTAGATAACAAGAAAAATATTGGAGCGTGGAATACTTCCTTAATTAGGAAATCAACTGCAATATTTGGCATATTGCCACAGTTGGTTTTTTTTTAGCAAGTTTTCCTACAGAACACTTCATAATGCACATTTTGTCTTTTTAAACATACCAGTAGTGTATTGCATTCACATCTGCATTAGCAGTTCAGCAGCAGTAAATGTCTTTCTGCCTGTGGCAGATGATTTGCTTAGAGTGCATAGGAAATTCTGTGCCATTTTTAAAGATGCACTGCGATCCTGAAACGTTTTTTTACTGGATATGTAATAAGTTAAAGAGTACAGGAAGCTGCATAAGTAAGTTTTCATCTTTGCTTTTTCCCATCTATTTTAAATACTTTTATGCATGAGTTGTTTTGCTTGTTGCTACCTTTTATTACATTTGAATGTTAAATGTGCTTTTGCATTTTGCTACAGTATTTATTATACAACCTTTAATGCCTTATTATAAATGCATATGTAAAATACTCCAAATAATTTTGACCTCAATATGAAAACAAAATTTATATTACTTCGATTTGCAGTTCAGAGGAAGATTGCCTTTGTGATTTTGTTTAAAATTGTCCTTTGTATTGATATTTATATATTTACAGTATATAAGGTATAAATATGTATATATATATATATAAAGGTTATAAATATGTATATGTATACATACATAAGACTTTTTAACATTTTAATGTAAAAATGGTTAAAATAGTACTCAGACATACTTACAGTCTTCATGCAGCCTGTGGAAGACCCTCTAGGACTCGTATGTTGCTGATGTTTCCAAGCTAGCTGTCTCAGCCTCTCTGAACAAACAAATAACACTGAGACACGGGCTTGAATTCTGACCTATAACTGTTACATTTTCTTGTTAGTGTGCTTGCCACTCCAGCATAGTCTCTTGTCAGTTCTTGTCTGGCAAGCAAGACTCCAGTATTGCTCAAAGGATGCAAGCATGGGCTTATTACCAGTTTATATTCTCCATGTTTTGTAAGGGGAAGAGAGTGTGTGCTGTATGTATCACGTGGACTCGTGGTTCAATGAGCTTGGACAGTCAGCGCTCCATTGAAAATGGACTCTCTGTAGTATGTTCTTATGAACTTTCTCTTAAAGACACATCTTCTCAAAGAGAGGTGAAAATCTTTATGGGATTCTATGACTTTCACATTTCTGTGTGTAAAACTGTTTGTGCATTATGTCCTCCACTTCACTAGAAGCAAGCCCATAGACATTACCTGGTGGATACAGGTGAAATCTTGTGCCATGGGAGCTGATACACTGTACAAATAAGTCTTTGTAGAACATCTAAATTGAGAGGGACCCATAAGGATCAAGCCCAGATCCCTGGTACAATTTGATTGTAGTGCAAAGTGTCTTCTAAGCTGAGAGCTTACAAAAATTGGCTTAATTCATGAAATCAGAAAAAAAATAATACTGAAACAAAATACTATATGAGCTATGCATAGGAAACCTTTGCATGTGATTTTCCTCATTCAGGTGGAAAGATCATCTTTGTTTATGTCTCTCAAGACAGAGATGACTCTCCAAAGAGTTTCAAACTCTTGGGTTTGAGGCTTGGAGGAGAATAAATAAGTAAGATTTCAGTGGATGTCCATCTACTTCACCTTCATGTCTTCTTCTATCTATAGCTCACATTTCCAGCTTCTGTCACCCTTCCCACTTTCTCTGAACAGCAGATCCTAAGGCCAGTTGCTGGCCAGTGTATTGCCAAGTAGGAAAGTGGAAAATAAGGTTATCCAGGAAAATCCTCCTACTGTGTCAAAGGCTAGTAGTAGTTCCAGCCACCAAACCACACAGATAATTTCTTTCCTCACTCGTGACTGTAACGTTTCCTTATTGTTTACATTATTTTCCAAATAGAATCAGCATTTGGAGAGAAACTGTGTAAAGGAAAAGCTTCCCAACTGCCTTGTGTTAAGTTCTCACTAATGCTAAATTATGGCAATCATGATAAATTTTAGGATGCTGTACACATTTGAGGAGAGGAAGAAGACATTATGCTTAATAAGGCTTTAAAGGATGCTTCATTGTTGATTTGTAGTTGAAATTGAATGTTATGGTCTTGAATGACCCATCTGTTTCTGTTTCTGACTAATAGGTGTGCAGTAGCTAATGAGTATTGCCTTTTTATTCATTTCAGTAATGCAATCTAAGTGTTTGTGTGAATTACAATTTGCAATTTCATTTCAGTAGTTCAATTAATGTAAAATGGTTGAAAACGGTTCTGAAATTCGTGAAAAGCAAGACAGTATGTGTACATGTTTTGCAAAATAGCTGCTAAGCCTAAATGTTGAAAAAAGTTGGCAGAATTATATACTCAAATATAATTACTACAACTTATATACTCAAAAATAAGTTCTGTGCACTTTTCCTTGGAAACATTTTAAATAATGAAAATATTCACTAAATACAATATCACTGCTTTTCTTAATACTAATTTTTGCAAGTGTTATTCCTTAATTAATAAATGATGTATACTATTATTTAATTTAATTAACATAGAATTTTAATGCAGGTAAGCTTCTCATAATGTTTTTTTTTTTCTATTCTCCAGCAATGGCAAGTCGGCAGGTAGACATTGCTACTCAAGGGTGGTTCATTGGACTTATGTGTGCTGTTGCACTTCTTATCTTGATTTTACTGATTGTTTGCTTCATAAGGAGGAATAAAGGTGGCAAATATCCAGGTATGATATGAAACAATTAAAGTAAAAGTTATCTACTGGTAATCAATCCACTTATCACAGATCTCAGGTTACATTTGCTGCTAGTTTATACACAATTGCATTGTATATATGAGAAATCAGTCCTGTTGTTTGGTAGGCTCATTGGGAGCAATCAGCCTAATGATAGAGAATTTCAGTCCCTGAGAGTTAGTTATCTCACTCATCCTTAGAGGATTGATTCTATTACCCTACATTAACACTTTAGAGAGGGTTGAGCTTTCTTTGGGATACTTGGCCATCCTGTCAGAGCTGCATGCCCCAAGTTTAGTCTGTTAACTCACCAGAAAGAGCTGATTTAGAACTCTTATTAAGTTATTTTTGTCTTAATTTTAGCATGTCATCTTCAGATTACCAATGGCTATAAAAAAGTACTGAATTATTTTAATATGAAATTATAGCAGCCAGATTCATTTCAAGGTGTTATGAATTATCATGAGGAATGATTCATATCATCTTAATTAACAGTGTATAAACTGATGATGTACAAATTAAGTGTGGAAATGACCAGAATAAAAGATAAGAGGCAATATAATGGATTATATAGCAGTATAATCCAAAATATAGGTAATAATAAGTTAACAATAATATCCAAATAAAATAATAATAATAATAATAATAATAATAATAATAATAATAATAATAATAATAATAATGGTAAAAATAATATATATATTAAAAAAAAGGAAATGAAAAGACAAAGAAAACATGATGAAGATAATTCTTGACCAGTATATTATTTTACTGTGACAACACTCTTAATTTATAGGAATATATATTTTTTATGTAAACATATATCTCCTCAGATACTGGCAGGTTTCTGTGCTGCATGGTTGCATGGAGAGAAATTACATGCAAAAATTAACACAATACATATGCAGTCTTACCAGTGAATGCAAACTGTAACAGGGATGTGCAGGAGATAAGTCTGTGTTACATTTAGGTTCTCTTTTATGTGTTTTTCCTTTGCTTTTGATCATGTAATAGAAAGAAAAGAAATAATGAACAGACCAAGCCCATTCTTTTCCAATATTAATATTTTTCAAATGCTGTTCAAAATTTCCTGGAGACTCTATTGCAATACTTTTACTGCATTGTTAGGGCATGACATGAAAGCGGAAGGAAACAAGTAGTGAATACAAGTGAATTTGATTCAATTTCATCAGTTGATGTGGGAGAAATATCAAGAGGCAATATGGAATGTGGATATTCAGATTTCAATAAATAATAACTCTGCTAATAACACAAGAAAATAAAATAGTTCAGTATTTTTTAACAAGTTTTTTTTTTTAATAAAAGAAAGGAAAAATTTTATTCATGAAGGATGACACAGTGTTTTGTACTTGAATTAAGATAAAATTCTGTAATTAACAGTTTTTTTCCTTCAAAAGAAAACATGTAGCAGTCTAAGACTCCAGTTCAACAAATTATTTTTATTCAAATCATATTCTAGCCAAATCTGATTGGTTTGACAAATTAAGGTCTTAACATTTCTAGCCTTGCAGTTTAATGATAAAAGTTATTATTTCAAATATTTTAGTGAAGGAAAAGGAGGATGCACATGCTGATCCAGAAATACAACCTATGAAGGAAGATGATGGAACGTTTGGTGAATACAGGTGAGCAGCTGATATGGTTTGTTGTGTTCACTCTTCATATCACATGTACTTTATGTAATATCACATTTGCAATTTCAAAACTAACTTTATTTCAGTGTTGAGAAAGATTCTGCTTCCATTGTTTTATAGAACTGTAGATAGCATTTCCACTATACTATAAGAAAAAAAAATAAAAATCCGAGATTAAATAATTGAGAGTTTAGAAGAAGCCACAATTGCAAGCTGAAATCCAGATTCAAACACAATTGTCTCAAAGGGAGGAATTGGTTTTTATAAACCCATGTTTCAGGTACTTAAAATATCAGATACAGCATGCTTTCATCCTTTTAGTTAGGGTACATTTGACATTATGTTTTTTTGAAAATATATTTCTAATTGAAGTTTAATAAAGACAGTCTTGTGTTCCACTGACTGGAAAACAAATGCATTTAAAATGCCACTAATGGTAACACCTAATCTAATAACAAGGCAACAACGTTAAACATGGAGGTGAGGGAATGTCCTACGGGAAAAAACTTGGATCTTCTGTCCATGTATTTCAGTGCAAGAAACAGAGAAAGCAGATTCAAAGCATGCGACACAGCTCTTATTCCTGACTCTTCCTTCATTCTAAAAGTAGTCTAGCTGAATCTCCTGACATCACAAGAAGCATGCTTTGGCAAGTCCATTCACAGGAGTATAGAATATTAAATAAAACAACAGCATATTATTTGGTGCTTTCGAACCACAATTTTTCAAATAATGTTCTTAGTTTCTGAATATGTCTATGCTGTTATATTTTATTTAGATATTGTAATGCATTTTACAGTGTATTACTGTGTTAAAAATTATTGTAAACACCCTTTATTACTTTGAAAATGCTTAACTTACACAGATTAAAAAAAAAACAAAGTTTTTCCAAGAAAAATTCTCTTGCTTTAGCTTACTCATGTAAGGGAAATGTGCATATAGATCTGACTGCATTAGATTTTCAATTCTGAATACCAAAGAACAGTTTCTGCTTGTTTTTACTTGTGTTTTGTTTTTTTTTTTTTAAACCAATACTACTCTGTTCTTAGGTTAATCATTTTTGTGTGCCATTTTGTTACAGCCTTAAATGCATATGCACTAATCAAATTTAGCTGATAAAAGCAGTAGTATAAAGCAGCATTTGGAAGTAGATGTAAATAAGTACTGTATACATTTTCCTATGCAGTCCAGTTTGCATTCTCATTTATCACTCCTCTGCTTTTCAGTACTTGGAACTTTCAGCAGCAGAAACTGGCCCTTATACATAATTGTACAGATCCTGTGACTTGAATATATGTTTTCTTAGGTCTAGACTAAAATTATTGAAATCTACTTTCATGTGTGACCTGTAGCAGAATTTGAATTAGACTCCATATTGAAGAGACTTAAGTCAATCTAAAGAATCACACGGCGTTTTATTAAATGATTTTATTTATATACCACTTGTCTGGTGAAAATGGACATTTGCATGCCTAGCTTTCAGACTTGTTCATATGCTTATCCTATTTACCTTGCAAAAACTCCTTTCTAAAATGTATTTCTGTGTAATTAGTCTATGTTGGGCTTTCCTCTTTTTTCCTTAGAGACAGGGCAGCAGCAGCAACCAGTCAGATTACAGAAGATATCTTGGCACTCTCTCTGCAGCCCAGCATCCCTGCAGTCACTCAGTTCCCAGTTTGTCTGTCTCCCATGGCACTGGTAACGATGCAGTGCTTTTATGAGGACAAAGGGTATAGGGTCTCCCTTGAGCAAAAATGTGATTTTTGAAAGGTTTGAAAATCCGAGTATTTTGAACTTTTTTCATCACTTCAGGTCCATGTCTGCTTGGACAGGGAAGAAAATGGACAAGGAAAAGAAAAGAAAAGGTAGCTGTGCAAGTTCTTCTGAAGCAGACCCTGTCTTTACCAAAGCAAAGTCTGTGAGATCTGACAGATCCAACTTCTTCAGAAGGTCAGGGGATCAATACTCCAACATCAGATCAGAGACCTCCTTCACCAGGAGGAAGGCTAGGCAGTCTTCAGAGCTTAGAAGGGCTAGTTCTGTCTCTGCTTCTCTCTGCCAAGAGGAAAAGAGGTCAGACAAATGGATATACAGGCATGGCTCTAGATGTCATGCTTCTGAGCAACAAATAATGGGTTTGGATGAGGGTTCAAATTCTCAGGCAGGACATCCACACCCTTTCCACCAACCCCTCAGCTGCAACTCAATTCGTGGCTCACTGGCAAGGCAGCATTCTTCTCTCCTGCACCGGTTCAGCCAGACCCCAGACTGCTGCAGCTCAGATTCAGAAGACACTCAGAGCTCCAAACACAGGAAGGTAAGACCTTCTGCTACTACTCATTTCTCTGAATCTGAAAAGAATTCATTAATGAAATCTGTAATTTTGCCTGAGCTAGCTACTGTCTTAAAGGATGCACTCACAGCAGCCAGACAAAGTATAACTTCTGTGGCACAGACTAGGTCCCACTCAATAAAGCATCCCAGGATACCAATTACAGAAGTTCCAGTGGTTCCTCTAGAAGAAATGGGAAGCAGTTCCCAAACTTTTGAGTCTGATCAAATAGGCAGTATAAAAGATCAAGCAGCTTCTGGGAAGGAGAGAGTTGATGCTTACAAGGATTTGGAGGTTGATTCATCCCTGGAAGATGATGAGGTGTCATCTGAATCCCCTACAGAAGATGAAGAAGGACCAGATGCTGTACGTAAGTTTGGCATGGAAAATCAGAGTTATCTGTTCAAGCACATTAGAAGAGTATTAATGCTGAAAACTTCCAAAGGTGAATGCCCTTCAGAAGAAATGCCTGTCTTATCTGAAGAAGGCAAGGTAGATAATGCACTTCCTATTCATTCAACAGTGGAAAATCTCATCTGTAGGATTTGGGGTAATCCTGAGGCAAAACACGAAGCCCCAGAAATCTTGCGTAAGCTGTATCCTCTTCCAGTGGATAAAGCTGCTTTGTGGGGGTCCTTGCCTAAGGTAGACAGGCAATTGATTACTGCTGATTCTGTGCTTTCAATGCCTGCTAACATGGATGCTCTCCCTAAAGATCTTACTGATAGAAAGATTGAAGAAGAAATCAAAAGATCTTTCAAGCTGGTTGCAGCCCAGCTTGGAGTGTCTATCTACTGCAGTTATGCTTCTAAAGCATTACTATTATGGCTGGAGGAAGAACAAGCCAGAGTCAAAAGAAAATGTGTCCCATCTGGTGCCATACAGAGGAAGCACAGACTGTGTAAACTTGCAGCTAACTTTATCCATGATGCAGCTGAGGATTCTCTTAGACTCACAGTTAAAAATGTTGCATGCCTCACAGTAGCCTGGAGAGCTATATGGCTGCGTCCTTGGAGCTCATGGCTAGATCTCAGATGTCAGCTGCTCGCTCTACCATACACTGGTGGCAAGCTATTTGGTGAATCCTTGGTCCAGATCCTGAAGGACTTTGCAGAACACAAACATTCCTTACATCAAATGAAAAAAAAATGCTCTTTTGGCAGTTCGTTTTCTTATCCTCACAAGTCTCAGAGTTCCTTCCGTTCTCCTCCAAAGTTTAAAGGAGGAAAGGGAAAATACAAGGTCTCACAATCTTTTCATGCCAGCTATGAAAGGACATCTCGTTTTCAAAGAGATACCAGACCATCAAGAGGAACTTTCTAAGAGCATCTAAAACTATTATCCTTTCTCAGGAACTGGGGAGACTGAAAAATACAGAAATTTATGCTAAATAAACTTCAATATTTCAGTATTTCAGTATTGGCAAGTAAGGCCCATGCTTTGAAAATGTATTATTTCAAAATAAGATTTAAATTATTAAATTACTTAAATCTTAATTGCTAATTTTGATTTCCTAGAGAAGTTATAGGGAGGTTTCTGGCACATTCAGCTTCTAGTATTCCCGGTGTTCTTGGAGTGGCTTGGACTTGTTTGAAATGTTGCAGTCTTCAATGATGTTTTTCCTTCTGAGAGCATATTTTCTGCAGAAAATAGCATATTTTCTTCCATATTGATCTCATAAAGGAAAAAATAATGTTTCTGGGATCACAAATTGACCGGATGTACACTGTTCCTGTGATCAGTGGCATACACGGTTCCTCTAGAATTATTTCTCTACAATCCCAGTGGTTTTCTCATTTGGAAAAAACAGTGAATTTTGGACAATGTTTACACTAAGGAACTGCAAGAAGTACAAGTGCTATAAATGTGTTTATTTAAATTTAAAACAAAGACTACACAGAGCTCCTGTTCTGGTCAGTGTAGCTATATAAATCAGCCCAAATTTCTGTCCTGGGTCATAAATCAAGAGAGATTAGGAACAAATGGCATCTATAGACCTGTTGGTTCATGGGTGGGAAGAGTTTGCAGGCATACATTTCTTACTTAGCTTTACGAAAGTAGTGCTTTTTGCATCTCTTCTTACATGATATCCCAGTGTTTGTCCTCAAAGGAAGATCAAACAGGATAAGGCATGTGTAGTAGCAGGACCACTAGTGTGGTTACACAGGATATTTGCACATTTTGTTGAATTCCTTTGCCTCCTTTCTTCATCATTTTGACACATATTATTTTTTCTAGAAATTCCTAGCTATGCTATGGGAGACTTTCTGGAAATGGTTAATGGAGAATTCTGAGGCCAATAGATAATGTATTAGTCTTCCTGCTTTGTCTAGGTTGACTAGGTTATGAGGATAAGTTTGTAAATGCAACAATATTTTTTTATGCTGTTTTATTGCAGCCTAGGTTTGTTTCCAGGGGAACCTAGCAATGATTTGTGCCTCACAACAGTTATAAGGTTGATCCTTTCTAGCATTAGAGATGATGTCAGTAGACTGCCCTGGAGGATTCCTGTCTCTGAATAGTCTGATTGGATTTGGCAGTGATCTTACTGTGTCCTCATTCACACATGTTCTTTCTCTGATGGTTCTTATTTTAATTCTTGAGCATCTGTGTCACCTACTTTTTAAAATCAGTTCTTTGTTTTTTCCTTTGTACAGTTTTTCTCCTGAAATAGCAAGGGTGAAAAGTTTGATTAAATTTATCTCAAGCAGGTTTTTCTTTACAACTTTTCACTAGGAGTAGGTCAGATTCTTAGGCTAACAACTTTTTTCAGCCTGCTACCAGGAACTCAGTCTTCAGTTTTTTCAGCTTCTACCGTGATTGAAGATTACAAACATGCTAAAGAAAATCTGCTCAGAAAAAAAAAAACAAACAAGCAACAAGATAGATGTGCCTTTGTCTTAGGTAGATTGGAAATAGTACTAAGTTTTGAAATCTGAATTATTTGTGTAAGAGTATAGGGAGAAGTATAATCTGCACAGTCCTCAGGATCTCTTATCAATTAAGGAGTGTGAGCAGATGTCCATTAGGCAGTGGATCAGAGGTTGTCCTGGAATCTACAACGAAGCCACAGAGTAACATACTTCTATGCCTTTGTGTGCTTATACTTGAATATTTCTGGTCTGTTGACCTGAAGGCACAAAACAAGAAATTCATTGCCAACAAATTTCTTTCTCATCATCCTCTTTCTGCATCCAATATCCCAGAATGCTTTACCCATTTTGTTTGTTTTGTGTTGCCTTTCATCTGACAGCTGTGCTATAAGGAAAAGTAGTATATTGCTAACCATATATTGAGTTGTTTTGCATGTCCATGAATGTGGCAAAGTTTAGTGGGAACTAGTTGCCTGCTGGACTGCAGAGGCATCGTAATACTGTCTTCCCCATTCTGACTGGTTGCTGCATGTACCCATATCTAAGGAAGAAAAGTTGAAAAGTTGAAAGAAGAAAGGAGATTTCAAGGTACATATTTCTTTCAATAACTGATGATCTTGTGAAATGGAAGTACTTTTTAAAAAATGTTTGTACTTTGCATTTACACATTATTTTTACCTCCGTACTTCATCTCTCTTAATCATTGTCTTCAAGTTTACTGTGTGTTTCATAGAGCTAAGAGGGAAAAGAAATGTATATTAGCAATTATCTCAGAAAAGTATTTAGAGTTTTACAATCTTCCTTACTATCAAATTCTTGTTGAAATGGCATGAAATGCCTGATACATGTTGATAAATACCAAAATGTCAGGTGCATTTCAGTCTTTATTGAGCAACTTTCATCCATAAAAAGCTGGTAAAATCTTTATGAGACAACAAATAGAGAAGGTGTTCCTAATCTTCATTTCATGGTCTTCTGACCTGAAGATAAAATTGAGTTACATTCTCATCTCTTCTTGCATTCCAGTACTTATTGTCTCACTGCTAACTGTCAGCACTGCATACATGACACATTTCAAAATACTTCTTAAATTTTCCATTGTAATTTTAGTTAACCAACTTGTACTTTCTGTTTCAGTTCAGAATATTACACTAGATGAGTTTAAAAGTCAGCAAGCAAAAGCACAAACAAAAACTAAAAGAAAGTGTGAGCTATGATGGTTACATTTTGGTCTATTTTTATGAACAGTCATTAGAAAATCTTGAAGATACTGTATCAAAATTTCTGACCTTAATGTGTTTTTGCAACATTATATAGTCTAAAGCGTGAAGTGTTGTATAACTCCTTGGACATCAATATTAACAACAGGACAACTGTGTATTTTTTCTAGTTTGCCTCTTGGCAGCACACAGAAAACCCATTCATTCTTCCAGAGTGCCAGAGTCCCTTCTCTGTTTTGCACACCCAGGGTTGCAAAAGTGCTGACAAAAATATTGATGTCTTCACTTTTTTTTCTCTCTCTCCTCTTTGTTTTCTCTTCTATTCTCCCTTTCTTTCCCTTCCACCCAAAACACTGTGTTCATCTAATACAAGTGTTATAATCCAGTTTGACAAAAAATCAAGGCCCCATTCAATGTGTTTCCTCTTCCTGAAACAGGAGAGGAAAGCACTTTAGACAATCCCACTTCTTTTTTCAATGCCAGAGCCTGGGAGAACTTCTTTCTGGACTTTTCAGGCACAAAAGAGGAAAGAATCCCCAGGTTCAGATTTGATTTTACACTTGCTGTGACTGTGCTCTTATACCAGCACCCACCTCCATGCAGGTACACTCCTGGATAAATCTGCAGTTTTGTTTGTTTTTAATTATACAGACAGTAGAATCTGTATCCTTGCTAATATCTAGAAAAATTACAGACAGAATGCAACCAACTGTGTAATTATTTATTTATCGTTCAGATTATAAATAAATTTTGTTTCCATAAACGCAAACAAAAAAAAAGCAAAGATCAACATAATGGAAAAGTTTCTATTCACATATTTATCAAAGTTGCAAATTAAAATTAAGATTTTTATTGGATTAAACACAAAAATGTCTGAAATGTGGATATTTTTAGTACAGTAATGGTATATTATTTACTTACTTTATACTTCGAGCCTAGTGAATTACACTGGATTGGATCACACTTTAGAACATTTACAGTTTCTTAACCAGTTGGATAGGATGCAAATGCATTTTTAATTTGCTTTCATTCCTACATGTTACTGCATAAGCAGTTATGAAGCAATGTTCTTTACAAAATGCTGTTACTGAGAAGTCATTAAACACTGCAGGTCATTTTTCTCTGGGAGTAGGACCTGGTATCATTCAATGTGAGATCTGGTCTTCATTGCTTTTGTATAGCCTGTTTTAATGACTGTTGCATGGCAATGAAGAAAATACTTTGCTATCTGACTAAGAGACTCACACTTAGGATTTATAGTAGTATATTCTTTATTTACCTTTTGCATACAAGATCCTTCCAAAATGACCTGCCTTTGTAATCTGCTCGTGTTTGCAGCGTCATAAACATTTGCACTTTGCTGCTGCATGACTGACATTTTGGAGCAGAATTCATTTAAGTGTTAATAACCTATATGTTTGCAGTGAGCACATAAGATCAATGATCAGATATTTATCCTAACGCCATGTACACAGCAATAACGAAAAACAAAGTCAAGGCAATACAGTCAAGTGTATTTGGCCTCTGTACATTTTAATTTTAACATGAAGGTTTTAATAAGATAAATGTTCCTACCACTTCTGTGTATGCATAGAAAATAAAATCTCTTCTGTGCTTTAAAAAAGCAAAAATGTTACATGCATATTAGAGGTGTTCTTTCAGAATGTGAAAACTTGGAGTTTTCCAAAGTAAAAAAAGGATGTTGAGATAAGGAATACCAGTTGGATGGAAAATTATGTAGTGGGTTGCTGAAATACTTCTCGATAGAGCATTTATCAGTGAACCTGTAATATGTGACCTTGTATATGCTATAATGTTTTGATTTCTCTGGATATTCAGAGATGATAGAAAAAGGAAAGCAAATACATTATTGGACCATCTAATGTATTACACAGTTAAAATAATTTGCTGAACATATATTCAGTCTAATAATGTAAATTTTACATATTTTCATTTCCACAATATTCTATACATGTTTATTTACATTTTCCTTAAGATGGAAGTCATGAAGGAAAAAAAAATGGTTTGGTCTTTGGTACCTATGTGAAGTCACATGTTTTGTTTAAGACAAAGTTTAAGACAGTTGCACCCAGCAGTGCTTTTTCAGTACTGCCTGTAGTGTTTTTCAGTTGGAGATGGTTTGGAGCTGCTGCTGAAATCTTCCTCTTGAGACTGAAGTGCAGTGTTGAGGATTAAGAAAAGAGCCCAGCTGCATCTGTTTCACAAAACGCAGGCTTACCATAGCTACAAATTTGTTTGGGATGCTGATGGTGCTGCAGCATTTCTACTGACTGCAGTACTCTGCTAAATGGATCTTTCATCCCTGCCTTTCTTTCCTTGCCTTTTCTTGTTGTGCTCCAAATCATCATCATCATTGCCTGAACATGTTATCAGTTATGGATTTGAGATAGGGAGATTGATCTCATAAGTAATAAAAACCTAAGCATGCTCTTAACTGCTCATTTCTAGCTACTGTAAGCTGAATTTGTTGATTAACCTGTATGCAGTAAAAGTTTTAGCAATTTTAAAAGCAACTTATTATTGATAAAATACTGATCACTATCAGGATATGGACTTTGCTTTTCTTCTTAGGCTATTTTCATTTGTTTCTTCTGCACCCTTTTAATGGAATATGTAGGTCTCTTGAAAGGTAAGATTAAAAATTGTAAGTCTGGCCTGCATTATGTAACAAATTATTTGAAATGCAGCACTGTTATTTTCTTTGTACTAGTAAAGAAAATCAGTATATTCCATTTAACCGAATTCATTCTTCATTCGTGTTGAAGGAGTCAAAGAAATTAAGAAGTTTAACAGACTAACTTCACAGCACATCAGAACCTTGTTACTTTGAAGAACAAATAATTTTTTTTGGTAACTTTACAACCCCCTTCTTAATGCTTGCAGTTGCATCTAAATTGCTTCCAAGCCCAGGGCACAAGTTTTGCCATTGAAAAGTCATGCACGATGAAAAAAATAAAAACAGAAAACCACAAAAAATCCACTTTCCACTGAAGGCATTCTCTGTTTAAACCATCACTACACCATGCATTCATGTCAACTGCATCATATCGATTTGTCTCTACAATGTGTGTGGACTTACTGCAGGATTATAGGGCTGCACACATGCTTCTTATGAACTCTGCATGCATGACTGATTTTGCCTTACAAAACGGTGCATCGCTTAATTCCTTTCATTTGTTTGTTTGTGTCTCCAGTGATGCAGAGGACCATAAACCTCTAAAAAAAGGAAGTCGGACACCATCAGACAGAACTGTGAAAAAAGAAGACAGTGATGATAGTTTAGTTGACTATGGAGAAGGTGTAAATGGCCAGTTCAATGAGGATGGCTCCTTTATTGGACAATACAGCGGTAAAAAAGAGAAAGAACCTGCAGAAGGAAATGAAAGTTCTGAGGCTCCTTCTCCTGTAAATGCCATGAATTCGTTTGTGTAATCAAAGAACTTGATTCCCTTGTGTTTTCTGTTTGTTTGCACTTGTACGTCCTCCTTCTCGTGCGATGAACATGCAGGTAACAAAGCTCCTCACCTCAAAGTGTTTATGCTATGAGAACGTGCCGGTTTGTACAATTACATGGTATAATGACACACCAAGTGGGATGGGAGTACGAATCAAGATACAAAATTCAAATTTTGTTTGAAACTTGCATTTTCTTACTTTTCTAAAAAAGGAACTGACACAGACAAAAAATAGCATTGACTTACAATTTTGTTTCCTGTTGAAAATATGGTATAATGCATGAAAAAAGATACTACACAATTCACAATCTCACGTTCACTATAAAAACATGGTTGGACAGTTTGTTATGCAGTCCTCAGCCGAATCCCTGGGTATGAATTCCATTTTCATTGTTAGAGTGTTATAGTAGTATTATATAGAACTTCAATGTCTTTGTGGACATTGCTGTGAAATTGGTGACTTAATGTCTAGCTATCATATGTCTTTTTGCAAGACAGTTAGGAACAGTATGTACAGTATATAATTGCTAAATGATTTTAGTATGACACTTGCATTTGCTGATGCTTAATGAGACCCTATTATCTGCTCTTTGCTCCTATTACTTTATAGCCTTTTTAATCTATCAAGTATTACAGCAGTACAGTGTTCTATTTTTTACATCAAAACACATTGGATTGATTTTAGGGTATAAAAGATATGCATTGCAATGCATTTTGGAATTTGTACAGTCACTGAAAGAAAAACTTTAAAATGAGAGAAAATATTCCAGAAAACACAGGGCAAAATACATTCAGTGCCTTTATACAATATGCATTCCATAATGCACTGTACTACGAAATCAGTTGGTGCAGTAAACTGTGATTAGCGGATTACTATCATTGCCATAAAGTAAAAACTGTAAAATAAAAAAGTGTCATGAAACTGTTGTGCTGAAAATTGGAATGTTTTAAATTACACAAATGAGAATATGAGTGGTTTGTTTTTTCCTTATAAAATAAACACTTTCTAGACAGTTACAGCACAACAGGTTTTCATGGCCTTAGAAGATTTATTTAAAATAAGTAATCAAGCAACCAGAAGTAAATTACTTCCTTACACAGCAAGCTATAAGCTCTTCTAAAACAAAGAGTTAAAAGCCAAGGTAGCCAACATCACCAGCAAGAGTGCGTTTCCCTCTGTGTCGCGGCCCAACCAGTGCGGCAGCTTTGGAATCATCTACACCCCGAAGCAGTGTGGGGTTACTGCTCACAACTGCAGCATTCAATCTGACAAGTGCTCCTATGGTTTAGTGGTAAAGGATTACCATTATCAGTTACAAAATTATTTTCTCGCATACAATATCAATCAAGTGTTTACCTCCAAATATAAATTTTATAACAACCTATGGTTGAAGGAATGCTCAGTTTCATTTGCCAATAAATTGGTTTTTCATAACTTGCATCAAGTTTAATTTTAAGTAAGCTTTTTATATGTAGATATTTTGTTGAATTTGTAAATACACTTAAAATGTAGGTGCTATATGCTTCTAGGTGTTACAAACAAATAAAACAAGAAAGCTTATGTTGTACTGTGTAAGAAGTACTATAGCCAATGGTGTGCATGGTATTTTAAGGCATCTACTTCAATATAATTTTTTTAATTTTTTTTTTTTGCTGTGACAACAAAATAGTGAACTGTTCTGCTTTCTTACTGCAGATTCCTAATTGAACCATTCAGAGCTTTTGCCAATGCATTACATCAGATCATAGCACACCTCTCAGCATCCATGTATATACTGTAGGTAAGGTACAACTGAAGTACTCACAAGTGTATCTGTCATAAGCTTCTTTCGCACCTTTGAGCTTTCTGTTGATCAGTTTTCTTAACGGGAACCGAAACAAAAAGTGAATTATACAAACGTTGACTACAAAGCACAAAGAGAAAATTTCTTAAGAGTTGCCAATGGTTTTGGTAAAAAAAAAATAATATAATTTTATTTAATTGTAGATGCTGAATGATCTGTGCATGTGGGGGTAAACATACAGGCTTACTTCTGTAATAGTGCAACAGATTTTGTATTAAAAATAAATGTGGTTTTAAAATTTCACTGTTTGTTCTGTTTACACTAGCAGTAAAAATACATCTGATTTACCATCTAATTAAGAATTTGAAGTAGGAAAGAGCATGAAACAACTCTATCAGAAGCTGTTGCCATGGTGTTACAGGACCTATATATACTGCCACCGAATTATTTTATATACTGCAGGTCTTTCAATACAACCATTCAAAAAGAAAGGTGAATTTTATCTGATCATTTGCCATTTAAATCTGCTGCAGCTTATATTTTACTTCCATGGATGCTTTATTTAGTCACATTTCTGTGAAGAAAAAAAAAAAGAAACAGACAAACAGTCATGTCCATACTTGTAAGTGTGAATAAAAAGGAAATAAGAATATTCATTCCAAATTAAGAGCCTTCAACTAGGATCCTAAAGCCTAAAGAGAATACAAAATTCAGAGCATTTTTAAACTGGGTATTTAGCAGTACATGAACTGAGAGGATTTGAAACAGCACCTCTTACAGTATACAAAATCCATTGCAATGCTTTTTGCATATCTTGCCTATTCTTGTATGAGTGGAAACAGGCTGTGCAGGAGGGCAGTTGCTCTGCAGGGGAGCCATGGATTCCAAGAAGCACAGATGCTTCAGGAAATACATCAGAAGATTGATGTTTGCCCACAGTGCTCCAAAGAGGGATTAAATCCCTGAATCAGAATCCGTTCTGTCCGTTTCCCGAGCCATCTTTGTAACTGGGACCCCCTGGCTGTTCCCATGTCTGTCATCTGCGCAGTCACCATTTTGGCACCTTCAATATCAGGCTGCCTGTTTTTCTGCTCAGGTATCTGTTGATTTTTCCAGCAATATGCTGGAAAATGGATGGAGAGACATGAAGTACAGCTGTTTCTATTTAGAAAAAAAAAAGAGTAATTCCTGGGAAGAGGGATCTTGGCTCACTAGACTTTGTTGAGACAGAAAATTTCACATGATAGTCATTTCTGGAGACACAAAGGTTGGTATGTTCTTATGTGCATGCTTCCCAAAGTGTTCTGATACATGAAGTGGCTGCATCTTCCTTTGGTGATTTTCGTTTGCTTTTGATTTTATTCTCACTGAAGCGATTGTATAAATCCAGAAGGAATTAAAGAGGATACGCCAACAGTAATTTTTCTTGTAATCTTCTATGCTCACATGGTTCCTAGGAAAATATCTCGGTATTTCCTTCCCACTGGAAAAAAACATGTCAAAATATAAGCCACTGCTCTAAGCAGAATTTAATTCTGTCTTTCTGTTATGTTTTAGAGGAGGTAAAATATCTGGTCCCCAGTCTGCCATGTTGTACAAATTACTGTGCCAGGTCTTCAGAGCTGAGCCTTTGAACAAGGGAGGTTTAGGCAGTCTGATTCTTGGAAACTGCTTGGTCTCATGCTCTACTAAGGAATGAACTTTGTTTACCTCCTACAATAAACTGCACTTGTTCTGTATCTTCCTATTTCCTAATCCGAAGGCCTCTAAAAAGGGATGCTTTGATCTTGAACCCCCACAGCTCATCTGACAGGCAATAACAGCCCACCCTACACAGCACTGTGCTGTGTGTTTGCACAGCTCTGGAGGGTTTTGAGTCCTCACGGGACTAAGGGGACAAATTAAGTTTTCTACATTGCAGCATTCAGAATATATTTCAATTAGATGGTCTGTAAAATGGGCTGCACTGAGAGTCCTTCTGAGTACACCAGCATGAATGGATTTTTTTGTTGATTTTTTTTTTCCCCCCATAATTATCCATTGTTTATTCCATGAAACTTAGAAGAACTTATTCATCTTGGATCCTTTGGCTGAATTTAATTGAAAACTTCCAGTAACTGCAGTTGAAAACTGCCAGTAACTGATGGAGGAAGTACTCAGACAGATGGACAAACACGCACACACGTAAGGCAATTGTTTTCTTTCCTTAATTTTTGAACGAAGATGCAAAGTTGCCTGGGAAGAAAATGCTTATTGTAAGCATAGGGCAAGGCCAACTGAACAGAATCCTTTCCCTTAGCTCGGGAATTCCACCAGTATTGTTCAAACAGGTTGAGAGGAGAAGGAATCTCCCAAGCTCTTTAGATAAGGAAAATAGGAAGAATTCTATGTGATGAGGTCTTCAAACCTGGGATGCCAGAATCTGTTTTTGAAGAGCTTCCTCAGAAAAAACATAGGGGAAAGGGGCAGTTAATTGAAACAACTTGTGGCCAAATCAGAGAGCAGAGTGAATGGAAGTGACGCGGACATGGACTGGAATAGTTTGACTTACAGTAAGGAGAGCACAGAGGCCTTTGCTCGGCCACATCTGGTGGTCTCTTGGCACAAACACTACAAAGGGAGCCACTGAAAAAACTGTTTTTCTTTCTGAGGTTATTTTCTCTTCCTGGCTCTTCTTCAACGTTGGACTCTTCTCCAATTTTATTTTTTTCTATTTATTTATTTATTTATTTATTTATTTTTGCTTTAGTAAGAAAGCAGATTCTGCTGTTATATTAAAATTAGTCAGTGATTGTAAACTTTTGAGAAAGGGAGGGGTTTGATTTTTTTCTAAAACAAATGGATTTTTTCAATGTGATAGCCTAATTTTTAAGCTTTAGAAATAACAATTGACCAGTAGGGGGAAGTCACAGTTACTCGTTAGCAGAAGCCCATGGAAAGCAGCTATCCAAAACAACACATCTAAGTTCACATCGTGCATGAAAGCGTATATACATATACAAATATATATGCATGGTTATAAATATGCATATATAAAATACTACGTAATAAGGTAGAAATTCAAAACGATTTGATTGTTTTTCAAAACTACCAACCCACAACTGCACAGTAATTCTAGTCAGAATATTTATTTTTTACTAAAAGAAGTAAAACCCACCCTTTCTGTGGCCTAAAACCAAACATTTTTAAATAGACTCTACAAACTGTATCCCCAGCCTTTGCTTTCTCCCCTCTCAAGGTGCTGCTGGGTTGCAGAGGCAGCAAGGGCTCTGCTTTCTAGCCCGTGAAAACCCTTGCAAGGAGAAACCATGAGACCATAAAAATGAAGAGCTGAATGGAAGATTATGTGTTGCTGTGCTGCCACATTCACGATAAGCTGTATAGAATATTAAGTGCAGGATATTACTCATTTAATTTCCTGTGGCTGTGAAAATTACATCTGCTCTTGTGAGCTGGACGTCTCAGAACCAACAAAAATAGCCAGGAATGGGCCACATCCAGAATATTTCTTATACTGAGAAGTATAGTTAGCACACCCAAACTGCAGTTGTGTTTGATTATCTTTGTAGGTACATTCCAACTGAACTGTTCTATTCCATTCTGTTATTTGAAAGGTCTCAACAGTTCTCTAATGTTGTCTGTGAATAATTTGACAGAGTGCTGTTGGCCAGAGTAGACCCATGGCAGGGATTATTTTAACAACATCATGTACCACTGAGATGTAAAGGTTGGAAATATTTCCAGATGCTGTTTATTCTGTTCTTACAAACAGCCAGAGGACACCATTTGGTCTCCCAGATACAAATGGAAGCTGGGTGAATGGAGGATGAAATCAGCTCAAATTTTCTCTTCCTATTTCACCACTACAAGATCACGTAACTGCAGCACTGACAAACACTGAGCTGCAGTCAGAACCACGCTCACTGAGATGAGGCAGACTTTAACAAACATAAGAGGGCTAAGCTCATAATTTTGCAGAACCTTCCTGGTGAAGGCTTTTTTTTTTTTCTACAGTGCTGTGCCCAGAAAGCATCTGTGAGGATGAGGAAGTAATAACTCTGTGTGCGTGATGCAGCAAGAACATGGGAAGAGGAAGTACAGAAATTGGTTCTTCTTGTTGTTTAACCAGTACTGTATCTGCAGATACAGTATTATTCTAATTTGTTCATTTGTTATCATGATCATAAATTACAGGGACATTTTAGATAGAATAGCTGTTTTGTAAAGTAAATCGATAGATAAGAACAGTGGGTCAGGGAAGGTTGGTCTGAAATTCAGCATCTGGCCCAGTCCCAGAGGCAAACAAAAATGGCAAATTTTGAAGATGAAGGGAGAACCAGAATCAGCCAAAACACCTTGCTGTTTTACCAACTTCCAAGTCAGCATATCTGGGCACCAGTTCTTGGCAGCTATATAAAATAATTAAGGTATTTGTGTTTTTTTTTTAATGTCAATTTGGCTTGTAGCCAATTAGCTCAGATTTTGTGACTCACTTGAAAGGGCAGACTGCTATTCTTAGCTGAATTTGTGAAAGCAAAAGAGGTGCATTCCCACAACAAGGCCACACTGCATAACCTGTAGGCCAGTAGCCTATGATCCCAAGGCGTGGTGCTTCATCATCTTTAAATCTGTCAAGATTGCCCTTAATCTCCATGTCAGAGAGGAAGGGCTTAAGGTCTTGTTGCATGTGGGTGAGATAAACTCATCAGGCAGCAGATCACACTCAGCTGGGCATGCCTTGCAGGGGTGGAGGAGCTCAGTGCCGGGCTGTCCCTTTCTGACAGCTGTGCGTGCTGGCCCTCTTTGGCTGTACCCAAGACAATCACCACTATTAACCCTATCAATCAAGGCAACACGTTACCATCTGTGCAATCACAAGCCATTATCATTGTCTGGATTGGAAGAGATCTTGAAGATCACCTAGTTCCAACTCCCTGCCATGGGCAGGAAACGTCTACAAAATCATGCTGCTCAAAGCCATATCCAGCGTGGCCTTGAATGCCTGGGGGGCACCCACAGCTTCTTTGAGCAGCCTGTACCACTGCCTTACCTCCTTCATAGTAAAGAATTTCTTTCTAATATCTAATATATATCTCCTCTCTTTTAGCTTAAAACCATTTCCCCATGTCCTATCACTACACTCCCTAATAAAGCATCTCTCCCTGTCTTCCCTGTAGACCTCCTTTAAGTACTGAAATGCTGCAGTGAGGTCTCCCCTCAGCCTTCTCTTTCCAAGGCTGAATAAGCCCAGCTCCCTCAGCCTGTCTTTGTGGCCCTTCTCTGGATCTGCTCCAACACCTCCGCATCCTTCTTGTGCTGGGGGCCCAGAGCTGGATGCAGTGCTCACAAGGGCAGAACAAAGGGGGACAGTCACCTTCCTCACCCTGCAGCCCCAGATACAGTTGGCTTTTTCAGCTGAAAGTGCCCCTTACCAGCTGATGTTTATTTTTTCATCCACCATCATTACCATATCCTTCTCCACAGGGTGGCTCTCCATATACTTACCGCCCAGCCTGTATTCATGCTTGGGATTGACCCTACCCAAACAATTGCATGTTTTTGGCATCACAATATCAGAAGTCCCACTTGTCCAAAAATAGATGAAGAAACCAGGACTGAATCCACACTGTCAGACAGCATCATCTTTACAGGGCCTGTGCCTGCAGGAGCCATCTCAGCATGCCAGGGTCTCCCATACTAGGAGACTGGGCAATGTCCATTACACTGAGTACTGCCATGTCTGCATCACAGCAATGCAAGGCAGAGTGACCTTCATTCAGGATGTGGACAGTGTTGCAGCAGGACACCTGTTGGATGGAGTGTGGGAGTGGAATAAAAAGAGAAAGCATACAATATTCAAAATACAATAGAAGCGTTAAAAGCACCTTAGACGTCTTAGCCAAACAAAACAGAAAAATAATTATGTTTTTGTCTCCTACAAAACACAGCAGTACAAGATGTTTGAGATAAGAGGGGGTGCCTAGCCAAGGTTACAAAGAAAACCTGATAAATTCTCTTGCTGCTGGAGGTGAGAGCAGAGCTTGTGACACTGGAACTGGGACAGATTTCTTCAGCCGCCGCTCTGCCAAAGCCATCAAAGCTGCGTTAATTTATACCAGCTGAGACTTCTGCTTGTGGCATTTTATGTAAGTCTTTGGGCAGAGGTTTGCATAATGAATTTTTGTTTTTAGCGAATAAATGTCTAATAAAGTGTCAGGATTTCTCCACTAATGACAGCAGCCTCCAGCAGTGACACAACAGCTCCAGCAAGCGATGCTAGAGACAGCACATGGAAGAAAGGCAATCTTTCTTTTCTGAGTGATGTATTTCAGGTTACAACTGAAAAACATTCTGCTACAAATACTAAAAAAAGCAAACTGCTTT